GAAAACCTTTAATTTATCATCAGCATTATAATGTCTGATATTACCAGAATGGAATTATTCCACTGGCCTGAATGAAGGTTTAAGGGATTTTCTTTTGGTAAAAACAGCCTCAGGCTATCAGCATTGTCAGGGAGGGCAGAGCTCAGCCCAAAGCGCCGGGATTGCTCCCAGGGTGGGAAGTGGGATTTGCAGCCACCTCTGGCAGCGGTGGCAGGTGCGGCCGTGGGGCTGGCGCAAATGGCCGTGGGAGCAGACTCCCTCAGCAAGGGCAGCTCCCTGCCACATCCCCACCACACACTGAACCGCAGCCCTGGGTCTGTCCCTGCCCGGGGTGGTCCTGGCCTCACCGTGAGCCCCACCAGGGCCACGTCTCCTTCCCCCGAGGTTTGCTCTGCCCTCGCCATAGACACAGCCTCTGAGCTTCCCTTTCTAACCTGTCCACGGGGCAACAAACCCACTTTCCCATCTCCCAAGAGAGTTTTGAGGATGCTCCAGCTCTCCAGGGCCAGACCTTGCAGGAGCCTTGGAGAAGGAGAAGTCGGCGGCGTTGAAAAACAACCCATAAACCTGCCCTTATTCTGCAAACTTGGGCCAAGATGAATTTATGATCCCTCCTGCTAATGGGGCTAGAATAAGCAAGCGAGCCGATGATGGAGGCTCTGTTACTGGAATGAATTTGTACTTTCCACCGCCACTTGCTCCCTGATTTACAATGGAGTGGGGAACTTCAAGGTAGAAGGAAAAAAAAAAAAAAAAGACCCAAATCGAAAAGACGCCCCGTGTTTTGGTTTCTTTCTTCCCTCTCCCTCCCCACCTTGCCCTGTCAGGCCATTAATTCTAACAGAAACCACCGGGTCTGGTTTTTTCCCTCGAACCCCTCAGCTGTTGCAGGGAGACAGCTGCACCCTCTGGAACTAATTACAGCTGTCTGGGAGATTTAGCCCTCCATCCCAACAACTCCGATATTGCTGCTAATTTTTAACACGTACAGTTGGAAGATGTCATAATGGGCTGATATACGATCAAATCTTAAAAGTGCCACGGCGCAGCTGCTACCGTGCATCTGGCGGGATGAATCTATTGATATAAAAAATAATGCTGATTATTTTTAGCCTTCCTGCCCTCCCCGAGGCTGTCGCTTTGCCCGCTCTGGGTGGTGATGGAGAGCGGGTGCTTGCCCACAAGGGTGGCTGCAGGCAGGTCCCGGCATCCCGTGCGGGTCGACAGGTCCTTCTGGGCGGCTCGGTGGTCCTCCGTCTTCCAGCCATCCGCGCTGGGATCAGCACCATCACTTTGCCATGTGGATGTTTTGCTTCCCCTCCTGGACGTCACTGTTGGGCTCAGGAGAAGCTGCCAAAGGGGCTCATCTGTCCCTTGTCCTCCATCCCTGTCGTTGTCATAGCAGAGGGGGTTTTCCATCCCCTGGAGGAGAAACATCTGACTTGCTTTGTCTGATCATATCTTGTTTCTTGCCTCTCAAGCGATTACTTTGCCCTCGTGTGTCTGGTAAGGGACCTGTCCTGGGCTCAGCTGCTCCAGCCTGATGCTCCTCACGAGCTGTTTCCCTGCCCGGCTGTAGTACCTGATACCGGCGGCTTCCCGGCAAGCCAAGGAGGAGCTGCCAGCTTGTGTTTGCTTGAGAAATCCTGGGAAGCTGCTTGCAGCCAGGATTGTCCTTCCTGACCTTTCTGTCCATCTCTGAAACATGAGTCTTGGTCATCCTTCAAGTATGAGTGACCTCCTGGGACACCAGATCCTTCTACTGGAGATGCAGTCAGATGGCTGCTTCAGGACCTTCTGGAAGATGTTCCCATTTCTCCAGAGCAGCAGGCAAGGTTCACGCGTGCCGGCAGTCTCCTGCATCACAGAGGACTCAGGGACCTGTGGATCCCTTCCACCAGCCGGAAGGTCTTTGTGTGAGCCCCAAATTTGCACAAAACACAAGCAATTGCTGCTGAGGGGATCTGTAGCCCGTAGCGGTTTCTTGGTCTGCAGACGACGGTGCACGCACGCGTCTCACCTGAGTTACAACCTGTCCTGGCTCCAAGTGATGCTTGTAAACCCTGCAAGCCCTGAATGGTGGGCTCGGGGTGTTAGTGCTTCAGCCCTGTTCGTGCGGGAGGATGTTGGGTCCCAAATCCCGAGAGGAGGGAGCAGGTCCAGCGAGGCGGCACCGAAGGAGTTGGCAAATCCGGTGACTTCAGGACGGAGGTACCCGGGTAGATTATAAACACTGGGGTAGCTTGTAAACTCTATGAGCCCTGAAATAGTGCTCCAGTGAGTGTTAAACTCTGCAGCTTTTACATCCGTGAGCCTTGCAAGGACAGATTCCCACAGGTTCCAGGTTTTCCACATTTCTCCCACAGCCCCTAGCCCTGGGAAGGACGGAGAGGAGGGCCAGCGTGGGGCCTGGGTGCTGCCACTGTGTTGTGATGCTCAGAGGTATTCTGATGCTCAGAAAAAAACTGCTGCTGTTTTTCCATCCGGCAGCATAAATTGGCTACTGCAGCCACGTAAAGGCTCTTTGGTACCTCCGTTGACCAGAATGGAAACCTTGAAGTCCCGAATTCCAGGGAAGTGCTGGTGCTGCAGGACAGCAAATTGTCATGAGCTGTGGTGTTGCCAGAGCTTTATAGCTCATCGCTGGGTGAGTGCTTCAGCTTCTGGAAGAGCTCAGCTCCATGGAGTTTACAAACTCCACAGCCCACAGAGCTGTGCAGGGTCCTCCTCCATGGATCTTGTCATCCTGACATGGACCTACAAGAAAGCTGGAGAAGGACTTTTGACAAGGGCATGTAGTGACAGGACACGGGGCAATGGATTTAAACTGAAAGAGGGCAGATTTCGATGAGATCTAAGGAAGAAATTTTTCACTCTGAGGGTGGTGAGGCACTGGCACAGGTTGCCCAGAGAAGCTGTGGCTGCCCCATCCCTGGAAGTGTTCCAGGCCAGGTTGGATGGGGCTTTGAGCAACCTGGTGTAGTGGAGGGTGTCCCTGCCCATGGCAGGGGGGTTGGAACGAGATAATCTTTGAGGTCCCTTCCAACCCAAACCGTTCTGTGATTCTATGACCGTGCGTCCCTGAGCTCATGGCTCAGGGGGAGCGGGCTGGGGGAAGCAGAGCAACGGTGGTTGGGATAAGAGGGTGACTGGATTTAGAGGTTGGGGGACCTGGGGGGGACTGGTCAGATTGATTGAGACTCTGAACAGAAGAGCCTGAAACACAGTCAGATAGAAAAGCTAACTTTATGCCACAAAAATGCATCTTCAGTTGCCTGTGGTTGCTTTAATGCTCACACGGTTCTAGTTTTACACGCCGATCCCTTTGATAGCAAATATTTTAAAATAGACAGGGAACATATGGGAAAAATCATACCAAATCAGATGATAGATATTATTTAATCTGGGCAGGCAAGCCCATTTGAAAGGGACAAGGAAATTTGCATTCCAGAGGGGTCAGAGGACAGTCCTTGAGATTGGGGAGAAGGCACTTGTGTGTCTGAGCAGAGAGCTGGCATCTCCTGAGGTCTCCTAGGTCTGTCGTAGAATCACAGAATGGTTTGGGTTGGAAGGGACCTCAAAGATCATCCCGT